AGAGCTGAAACGGCCTGAAAGGCTATGAACTAAAACAAAAATTGTACTACCAATCAATGGAACAAAAACCTACAAAAATTAGTATACATGCTACCGCAAATGGCACAGCAGACAGTTCACTCATGCTGATCTTGAATGGTTTCAAGCAGACAAGATATTCGCCATATACAGAATGCGATGAACAAAAAAAAATTGAGGAAAATTTCCATACCATCTTGCAGAAACGTGTTGATCGCAATTCAGCACGACGAAGAAATCACTAGATAGTTTAAGGAAAGGGATAGAAAAAGAGATAGCTGCAAGGAAATTACTGATTCTCGATTAATGTGAGACTGTGAGCGTTGTCTGAAGGCGACGCATGCAGAAGGTTATGAGGTAAAGCATCGCATGCGCCACCACCCTCACAACTCACTTGTGTAAGGCACAAGGAGGACACCAACCCCACTCCAAGAAGACAAAATTCCATGCCCTACTAAACGCCTTGGCCTACCTCACACCCGCCTCGTCTAATGTCGCTCAACTAAATTCTGACAAAATAAACCATCTGTATTCTCTTTACACTATTCACATCTCGACTACTCCTACTCGCAGCCTAGCCCACCACTAAGACGATCGCCACTCGAGAGCAATAATGGCTACGCCGAAGCAGAGCAGTGATATGTTTTTTCAAAATTCGTTACATAATATTATTGTGGCCCGCCGGCCGAACTGTTCGCGTTACCGCAAACCCGTACCCCCCAATCGACTCATAAGAATGGAGCGGGTGCGGGTCGGAGGGCCGTAGCTATTGCTTGTTATTTGAGTGAACGTTGCTTCGTGTGTGTGTTGACAGCAACTGCCACAGTTTGGCATAGCCTTGGAAATCATCTAAACAAGTTCTTGCATTGCTGTTTTAGTTCAAAGTTAAACTTTGCATAATTTTCAAAGATCGTGTACGCCATTTTCGAAAAAAAATAGTTTTTTTCTATAGTTTGCTTTGAATTACTTAAGCCTCTGTCTTCCATCCGGCCACCAACGATTGAGGTTGTAAAATCAGGGACTATAGGGCGACCAAAGTAATTCTTTGCGATCATAATATGACCGATCTTCTTTTACTATAAGACAAAAGAACCTCGAGCGGGTGATCCCCGCGGATGCTTCACCAAATCAAAAATTTTCGTTCTGCCTGCTGTTGTCATATTGCGTAGGAAAAAGGAGTGGTATATGGGAAGAGGGGATGGCATCGAGAAAGAAAATGGAGTATGGCCTGAATTTCTACGTGTAAAATATTTCAAATGTTTACCATAAAATATTCCAAAGGGCACGAAGGGGTGTACTCAGCTCCGATCACACCATGCCCATTTCTTATTCTTCTCCTTCACTTCTCGAAAATCTCCAGCAAAAACAATAAAGGCTGATTGTTCATATGGAGAATAAGGATCCTTTTTAAAAAATGAGTATTACGAGAAGTCTGATTATTTAGTCGACGCGGACTTGTTGAATTTTTAATCTATGAGAAAGATTGAGTTTGGAAGAAATTAGAGGTAGAAGTAATGAATTTTATGTCTTCCAGAACGGAGCTGCCATCATCAATGTTATGCTTAGTCTCGATAGAAGAGCTAATAAATTTTCAACATCCTCTCTCTTACTTCCAGCTCCCTGCTACATTGCCCTAGAAATGCCT